CTTTTCAACACCATCATGAGGGAAATTTTGCGTGGATTGCAGCACTATGACCTAATCTTATTTTAATTTCCACAGACCTTAAACATGCCAGCCAACACCAGAATAGGTTAGTGAGCCATGTCTTATACTCACTGTTCATGAGCCACCCGGACTCTTGTACTTTAAAGGGTCTTAATAAAAGGTCACCATACAGAAAATATGCCTTTTCTTAGTTATTCCCTCTCCTAGTGCTACACTGCCCAGAAAAATTCCAGCATCAGTGCCAGTCTACAATACATGTACACTTATAACATACTTTCTAATGGTACAAATTCTACATAAGAAATTCCCCCCCATTCATCTTTCAGATTTTATGAACGATTAAATTGTAAATCAATTCTGAGTTAAAAGTTGGTTCCACAATCCCATTAAGGTTATTTATGCAAACAGGTTCACAAATACAGCTAATCATCCAATCAAATCATTGCTTAATAACCTATAAAGTTATCGATTACCTCATAAAATTTACGAATATTTCTTTAATCCGCGAGTAACTTTTTAACAGCAATGAATTTACATGGATATTTAATTCAAGCCAGTCTGGCATGATGAGCCTTAAATTAAATCCGTCATTTGAAGGCTATCAATTCATATTTATTGTCAATCAATTTTAGTAATTGCCGGAATCGATAACTTAATCTTTAATCATTTTAATAAACTTCTTCGTAATATGTGTTCCCGGAAAATATCAATATCCATCGACATCTAACTAGCTTTTTTATCATTGGTAAACAGACAAATGCTGTGGTGAATCTTTAATAATTTTAATATACATCTTCCTAATTCTTGTTTTTACCCAACAGAAAATATCAATATTAACAATATCAATATCCTTCATCGAATTATAAGCACTATACTTTTTATCGTCTGTAAATAATGGAGTGTGGGCAAAAAAAACCCTCTTGGCCTCCGTGACCCATCAAAGCCTAAATGGATTTCACATCTTATGAGTATTTTATCGCAGATTGAGCAATATTCAACATGAAAATATTGACGAGGTTAAATGTAAACTTTGGTCCCGATTGTGAAAGATGTAACATGTTTGATATTCCTTTGTAGCATGTGAAGTCGTCTAGCGTTCATCATGTCCCTTCAGGGGAGAATGTGAATTAATTGGTCAAAATTTATTTCTGATTTTCAAAACAGGCAGATAACAATGAGTTGGGATTAGGTGGGCCAATATTTTTCTGGTTTCTGAAATCGCAGTAATCGAGATGATAATGATTTAGGAGCTGCATTCATCATGGAGAGAGTAAAGAAAATAAGAACTTCATTCCTGGACTGACGTTGGGTTTAATACCATTTCAATGATTTCAATGTCATTGAGTCAACTGGCGTGGTTTCGGATCCCTGGTTGTACGTGACAAGGAGTAGGGTCGCCTGTCCAACCTCGTAGGTTTTCTCCGGGTCCTCCGGTTTCCTCCCACTGCTAAAGACCCCTACGCGCAAGCGAATTATTGAAATAAAATTAAACCATATGTTAGTCCCGAAATAACCTAGTTTGTGTCGAGTGGACGCTAAACCCCATTTCTCTCTCTCTCTTTATTGGCGCTTAGACATGATGACTTTTAAAGGTATATTTTGTTCAAGATTCTTGATTTTGAATTTCAGAATGGGCAGATACTTCTGTTTGAGAGTGAGATGCCAATATTTCAGGGGGATGAGTGTGTATGGTTCATTAGTGTACATGTATATTCTAATATGGTGAACATTTCTCTCTCATTCTACTTTAAGATATCTGAAAGTTCATGCTATTCTAATATGTCAATTACTGTTAAAATCAATCTTGATGGTGACCTATTAAACAAGAGAAAGTAACTCTCGAGGGATATTTTGTTCTGTGTTTATTAAATCAAGTGAAAGGAAACAGGAATACAGATAATCACAATATCTTCAAGGAACGGATTCTAATCTGTCAGTTTTCGGAAATTTGACAAATGATCAGATTGTATGCATTCTGATTTCTTTCCTTTTCCCTTTTCTTTTGTTTTGTATTAGATTTGAAACAGATTATTTTTTTTAAAATACACAATGGTCTGAACCTGTTATATCTTAAGATAAATTTATCTAAGAAGGCAGATCCATTCATGTATTAGGGCCTGCTCTTATATTTTGTATTTCAACAGCCAAGGCTTCTTTTACATGCAAGCCAATATATACATGTGACGACCTCGTCCTATCAGAACAATTACACACTATTTCTTTGCCAGGCCCTCCTTCCTGCACCAAAGACAAGGAGGATAGCAATCTAAATTATTAAAACCTGGGAAATTTCTCACTACCAAAGAAACAATTAATGTAATAAACTGATGTGTGTGCAAAACTTAATAAAGATATCTTGAACGGTTTATGAGATATGGACGGAAGGACAGACGACAAAGCCAATTTCAATATCCTTACAATACAGGCCATTTTTTTAGTACTGTTGAGTGGACGATAAACTGTAATTTTTTCTCTCCCTGTCTTATCTCATAAAAACAAATAATACACAATTTACTGACATAAAAACTTTTATTGATAACTTCAGACAAAAAAAACATGTCATTATGTGAAGGATTAATAAAGGTACAAATTACTTCCTCTCAACTGAGTTGTCTTGGCATTGTGTGATACCAAGAAAATTAATTCCGCTTTGACGATGTTGAGATGGGCAGATGCCTCGATGCAATAATTCTCCTGAATAAAAAGGTCAGTGAATAATCTCGATTTACACATATTGCAGCGAGAGTGTTCGTATTATAGATAAAAACGAACCAACCACGGAGATGGTCCATAACAACATAATACTAACTATTATAAACAGTTTTATGTTTACTGAAAATATTAGTAAAAAAAACTCATTTGAAGCGACGTCAATATTTAATCTATAGTGGGGGGATAATATTATCATGAGACACCATGACATGGCCAACTAGTGTGTAAAACCTTCTAAGCTAAGTTAGTTCACACAATGGCCGTAATAAAGAAGATAATTACAGCGAGGAGGGCAGCATGGCATGAACGATGATAACACGTTTATTATTTAATGAAAATCAAGTTGGACAGTGTTGCATGTGATACATTCTCCAGCGATTAAAATCAAAAGTTGTCTAGAAAAGTTAATCTTTAATGATAATGGAGGCCATTAACGTAAATGATGATAGAAAATCGTGCATCGCTCTTCAATGTACTTAAGCTGAAGTCATACGGATAGGCTATGGGCCATTGTGTGTTTGACCAACCAAAAGGTCAAAGGTCATAATTTGATAATAAAAAAAATTATATTGTGGTATCAAAAGTGTTTCAAATGGCACATTTGAGATTTTTAATGTTGAAGAAGATTTTTTTTTCAGATATCATTGAACAATATACAGATGAGGTATATCCCTTAGGTAAAAGTTGATTGACCAATATTTAAAGAATGTTCACAACCAATATTTCCTTACAGTTTCTTGCTTTTGTCATAGTGCTAAATCCCCTGAAAATCTGTTCTGATAAAGAGTTCACGCTTGCTTGATTGGGCATGGAATATCTCCTTCAGCCGATGTTTGTCTTTCAGTCTGATTTTCTGTTCAGGGTTGGCTAACTGACGTCCAAAAGGAACTGGAAAGCCAAGTTGGCCCAAGTAAGGTGTTTGCTCAGTGAGTAAAGCGTTGGCCCAGTTTTGATTTTGGTATTGGCTAAGATAGTTTCTTTTTTTGGGTTTCCCCTTGTCAGTGGTACCAGACTGACAGCCTTTCACGGAACCGTGCACACATAAAAGAATCCTTGAAAGTTGGAATTCGATCTGGCACAGAATTGTCTTTTTTCAGTGTTTTTATTGATATTTGTAATACATGACTGGCACACAATTCAAAATTTCAAATACTAGCAAGTTTTTTTTTCTATACTAATAAATTATTTACCAGATTCTATTTCATGTCTTGTTGCCCGAGGTGAGTTTCGAACTGCTGTTTAAATTAGATAATTAGCCATTGACAAAACCTGTTTAATTATTAATTTGAAGGTTAACCACTAATTTTTCTCTACAGTTTTCTTTGTGGGCATATCAATACAATTGCTAAATAACACTAGTATGAAATAGGGAGGGAGAGACAGGGGATTTAATTTCCTCTCAACACAAACTAGATCATTTCATGGTATCAGTAATTTTCAGTTAGTCACATATGTGATATGATATGGGACACAAAGCTCCTGTTGGGAATCAAACCTATAACCTAAGATTATACAGCTCTACCTAGGCTTCTGTTTCGTTCATATTTGTCAGGCTTTACTATAGCCTGTGAAATTGACCGACTGTAGAATTCGCCTATCAGTCAAAATATGTGAATATAATCTGTTAAGTTTCAGACTTTTGTCATTCAATTTAGATCAAGTAGGTCACTCCAATCCGAATGCACACTTCTACTGAAAGATGCATTATGTAAGAGCTAAATCTGACCTTTGCAGGTCTTTATTTTGGCTTCAAATGTTACATAAATTATTATATAGACATCTATTCACATGAAAAGCCTACATGTATAATCAACTCTCTAGATAATCAGATGGCAGAGATTTAAACAGATTGAAACACCATTTAATTTAAAAATGGTGAATCGAGGCTAAGTCTCAATTAACAAGTACTGTTGCTACGATAATAAATAATCTATGTCATATCTTGTCAAAACTTCAAACAGTGATACCTTTGCTCAGAATAAAGTAATTTGAATGAAATTTTCAATATGGATTATCTATTTTTGAACTATTATAGCAAGAACTTCCAACTCTTTATCTAAATCTTACATAAAGCATCTTTAAAGGAGTTAAAACTCTCTGATTTAGGACAAAACAAAAGTTTGACCTGGTCTGTCTTTTTGATTAGGTCAAGCTCTATTCAATCAAATTCTTATTTTAAATTATTAAGCAGAATATTAGTTGATATTTTGGCTTACTGAGTCAACAGTAGTTGTAGTAATTATAAGATTACTTGTACATCGTCTTACCTTCAGGTTCTTGAATTGTAAATATTCCATTTAAACACACAGTAAGATTCCATAGCAACACAATATAAGAGAGAAAATCCACAAATAGTTAAAGCACTTGTTGATTCAACCTGAAATAATAATGCAAGACAATTAAAAAAATATATAGATGCTAATGTCGACAGGGATACGCTATCAAGGAAATTCTGCCTGGAAGGTTCTTTTACGAGCATGCCAACGTGTACATAGGATCTCAGTTTTTTTTATCCCATCCCAAGCGGGGTTTTTCCAGGTCTTTCAGTTTCCTCCCATGGCTTCTTTTACTTTCATCATACTTTTTTATTTATTTATTTTTTTTTATTGTTATTGTAAAGCCCCACTGAGCAGTCAAACTGCCTGAATGGTCAGCGCTATAGAAAATGATCTGCATTATAATTCAACAACAAATTTAAAACCACTCTTAACATACAAGTATATAGTGACTTTCAATCCTTCCAGAAACTTAAATACTTTATTGCATTCAGACGTGCAGTTCTCACTGACATCAAACAATTGACAACAAATTAGATTTGGATTTAGAATAGCAATCATTTTTAGTCTGCGATTAATGTCATTGATCAAAAGATCAATGCAGCATTGTCAATTGTAGTACATCAAATAAAATATAAGAAAGGAAAAAAAAGTCACATTTTTTACGACCCCATCTGATCATTTATCACCTAAACAATATGGAAATTATCAATCGCAGAATTCCAGGAATAATTGTTCATTTAACAACTTGGTTACCTTGAGAATTGGAGAATAAATTCTCTATCCATTCAAAAGAGAAGAGGGAATCATGATAAGACAGTTAGCTTTTCATTTAAAACTTATTCATTTCAATTAAAAGTATTTATTCAATGTCACACAATTTCCTCCCGAAACAAAAAAATAATTTTAATAAAATTCAAATAAATCTCCATTAAACAGTTACACTAAGGTGACTTTTGTCTACGTTTAGTTCAAATCTGAAACCATTTGCTGTGCGACATTGAAATGCTTTTAACTGTAAAATTCATCGACAGCTTAATCTTCCCGGACAAATTAGGCTCGCGATCTCGATTGATGGCTTCTATGACGATTGATCATCAGATAAAAAAAGTGAACAAGTAAATCTGTCAAGCCATTATACAATAAAATGATGAAATGATGAAATACAAGAAAAATAAATTTATAGATTTGACAAACTGAAGGATAAACAATCATCATGAATTGGAATGTACATCTCTTTGTGAATGAATGAATGAATGAATGATGTCAATAATGGATATTCAGTAAAAAATTTAATTAGTGTGCAAGTTGAATTCATAATCTTTCTTACAGCCAAATGAACAATCCATTCGAATTTGAAAAAATATATGCCCAACAAGAAGTGTAGTGTGTAGAGCGTTCACAAGAATGATAGTGTGTTCAACACTTGCAAAAACTGTAGTGTGTTGAGCGTTCACAAGAACAGTAGTGCTTATAGCGATCACAGGATGGTAGTGTGAATAGCGTTCATAAGAACTGTAGTAGAGCATTCACACAAGAACTGCAGTGTTTAGCGCGCATTCAAAAGAACTGTAATATGTTGAGCATGCACAAGAACTGATTCATTTGGATTAAAAAAAGAAGCCTGATAAATTTTCAATTCATCATATCTCTGTAAATACAGAATGGAATTGAACCATATTGATTGATATTCCTTTTTGATATTCAAATTTAACAATAATGTAGTTTACAAGACATTCCTCAAGCTCTTAAATTACAATCAGAGACTTTAAATGTGTGTGTATAAAAACTACTTGTATTTTTATTGTGTGTTATTTAAGAGCCTACTTTTTTGGTCATCAATCAATAAAAACAATTTCAAAACCATTGAAATTCAATTTAACTTTACAACACCTTAAAGGTCAACAGGTTTTTCTTCCCCTTTTTTATACTCCAATTACAACAAAATTTTTAACTTTCTTCCTTCCGTAATCAACTTCAAATACACAGACGCGTCAATAATCATTTAAATGTACAAATATTAACAATTTTTCTGGCATAAAATAAAAACTAACTCACAAATTCTTTTGTCTATATTTAAATTATAACAGACAGCTTTATGGATAACATTCACTAAGTTTAACTGTAACGTTTCAATGAGAGTATTCTCATCGTTATCAAGCAATTTAAATAAAAAGATTTTATTTTGCAAATTTATATTTTAATTGACTGATATTTTTGTCAGTGACAGCAAATTTTCCTACTCCAAATTTAACACTGCTTGCAGTACGTCAGTGGTATTGATATTCCAATTCTGCACGAAAAACGGAGAGTTTAAATTACATTTATAAAGCTTTTCTCCTAGCTGATGTTTAAAATATCTTCGAACAGTCTTTGACAGAAATTGATGTAGAAATACTCCAAATAGCAAGAAATTATCCATCAAACTTTTTAAAATTACCACAAGAAAAGGTGATTCCAAACTTCGTACAAACTTTGACAAAAAAAAAAAACATGTAGGCCTAACACACAAACTTTTGAAAAAACATTACAGCATTCTCTGAGTTGACTTAAAATACCTGTGAAGAATATTTGACGACGGATGGATGTTCAGAACTCTAAATAACGTAAAATATTGACACTGTTTCCACGAAACTTGGTTAACTGTAACCTCGAGGTCGTAATTCTTCAAGCCTGTAAACACGTGAAGTTTGCTGCGTAAACATTTAAACAAATCGTAAACGAACGGTTGTTGTTTTGTTTTCACGTTGCTGAGTTTTTGATGGTTTTAGTTTTGAAACAAGTTGATCCCTTATACAAATACCTTCATTAAACAGGTTCGACATACACTTCGACAATTGTCAGTTTTAGTGTTCCGTTAAAAAATCAAAAACCCTATGTTGATTAAACAAAAACTACAACCTTTTTCAAGTTGTTAATCCCGAATTTGTTTTCGTGGTTTACCAAGATGAAATCTGAGGCTGTGCCAAGTAAATTTGGTGAGGTTTGGATACGGAAGGATGGGATGAAAGGTGGATGATATTAAACTGATTATAACCCTTGCCAGAAATCCTTCAGACATAGAGGTCGCAAGGTCAAGACAATCCAACTCAAGATTTTAAATATATATGTCAAGACTTGAAGAAGATATCAGTATTACTGCTAAAGTCTTGCAGATAATTATAATAAATTAAATCTATGTCTGGGGAGAGGGGAGATGGTAAAAACAATAGGCTACTCTTCTCTCCCTTCCAAATCCCAGTTTTCCCTGTACCTTTCCAGCTTACATAAGCTGTGGTTCACTCAAGCATGAATTGAAATAAAACTACTAAAGAGAGAGAGAGAGAGAGAGAGAGAAATGGGGTTTAACATCCACAACACAAACTCTAAGGTCATTTCGGGACTAACATATTGTTCAATTTTATTTCAATAATTCGCTTGTGCATAGGGTTCTTTAGCAGTGGGGGGAAACCGGAGGACCCGGAGAAAATCCACAAGGTTGGACAGGCGACCCTACTCCTTGTCACATACATGTACAACCGGGGAATCGAAACCACGCCAGTTGACTCAATGACAGGCACTAACCATTCGGCAAAACTACTAAAGCATACCTTCTTTACCCGGAGAAAATCCACAAGGTTGGACAGGCGACCCTACTCCTTGTCACATACATGTACAACCGGGGAATTGAAACCACGCCAGTTGATTCAATGACAGGCACTAACCATTCGGCAAAACTACTAAAGCATACCTTCTTTACTATATTTCACCTACAATGATATGTTATTTGTTATGATTTGCAGTGTGGGTTAGTTATTTGGTGTTTAGTACCAATTAGTGCGACCAATTTCAATTGACAATTTACAAGTTGCATTCTGCAACCTTCATTAGTTTGGTAAAACTAATTGTGGGCAATTGTAATTAAAACACACACATCAAAATTAACATGCATTTTTCCTACATTCACAAGGAGAAATGAGAGGGATTTTATTTAATAATATACACACTGTGCATTATTTTTCAAATTTATATTGGAAATGTTGTATTAACAAATAATGTTGAGTATTAATTTCTTAACTACTTTCTGATCAGGGAGGAAAAAAGGGAGTGTGAAATTACAAACCACAAGGAATTGTTGTATTTGCATAATAATTCAAAGTATGACGGCCACACTCTATACAATGAAGAAAATTTGTTTCTCTCTACAGTAGCGTTTCTGTATTCATCAAATTCCATGCAACTGTCAATGTTTCTTTTACGTGCATGTATACAGAACCATGGTTTTTAATCCCATCCGAATTACTAGACACTGTTCCTTGCCAAGTCCTCCATCCTGCTCCAGCACTACTGACATGGAGAAACCACCACCAGGATCGAGTGTGGAACCTCCTGGTTAGTGAACGAGCACCTCACCCACTGAGCCACCAATGACTCCCAGTGTAGGTAAGAAAGTTGTATCATACATGTATGTCAACTATATAGATGTAGGCTATATGTTTATTTACCAAACGCAACATAAATATAGGTTAATATATAAAACATGTTCTATAATGTCTGTTTATTGTACAATAGTATTCAGTGTGTACATGTATATTACTACGGGATAAAATAATTGTTATAAATCTGTTTTTCAAAAGTCAACAATCTTTTGTTATCCAATTCTGTTATTTTAAGAGTAATGCGTGTTAATTTTACATGAGATGATTTTGTGTTTTCCGCCGTGGAGAAGAAGCATTTACCTGTATATAAATAACAACAGGTTATATTTAATATTTAAAATGAGGATATGAAATATGATACAAACAAGGAAGCGGATCAAAATATAATTAAAATGTGAATTAAATAAATTCTGAATCTCATATTTTCGAAACAGGTGAGCCGAATGGGTATTGGCTTCTGGATTAGTATATCCGAATCCCAGGGTGGGCTGAGAAGAACCTTAGGAAGTTTTCAAACCCGGTTCTCAACTGTGGGGCTGACAAGTACGGTAAGTGTTGCCATGTTGTTGAGATGGGACAGAAGAAATGGTATACACATTGGCATGTCTATAAAAAATACTCTAGGTAGAATTCGAAAAACAGTAGATAAAAATTTGCTGCTGTTGGATCAAAATTCTCCTTCT